TGACATGTGTCTATAAGAATCTGTACAATGCATGAAAATAAGCATCACGTTAACTGTAAAAAATGAATCAATCAAGAAACTCTTATATGATTAAAAACATTCTGGGAATATCTTTAGTTTAGTTATTCTAAGATAAAGTATTTTATTTATTGAATAAAAAATATATATAAGCTTTGAATTGAATTTCTAATCTCAAATTAAAGCATTTGCACTTGTTATATGGTACCTTTTTATATGATCAACACACTTTTAACCTTTACACTAATGGTATTCTTTTCCAATATCGTCAAACTCAAATTTAGAAACTATAGATTTATAGTTATTTATATTATCTTTAAAAATTTTCATATTTTCAAACTTAGGAATTCAAATTCAAAAGTTTTCAAATTTATTAATTTATAAATTACAAACTTTCAAATGTAGAGACTCATATATATTATAAAAGATTATAAAGTTAACATTGTAAATTTCAATTTGTAATTTGAAATTTTCAGTTACAAATTTGTAAATTTTCGAATTTCAATTTTCATATTTTCGAATTTAAAAGTTACATCTACAAATTTTGAAATATTAAATTTTTAAAATTACATATTTAACAATTTCAAGAAATCATATTTAATAATTATAGTTTTTAATGATTATCAATGATATAAAATAAAATTTGACAAATTTATTTACCCCAAAATAAATTCTTTCAGTACTTATCAAAATTATATTTTATGATATCGTTATTACAAAACTGACTAATTTTCAACAATATTCTTTAAAAATTAAAAATTTCAATTTTTCGCATTTTTTAATTTACAGCAACGTAATTTTGGTGAGCTTACACGGAAACAATTACGTTTATATGTTCCTTTCCACAATTCTTCCCCTTCCTACTACCCTGTAGAACAGCATAACAAGACTCTACTGTATATGCAAATTAAACAAAACTTTTATGAAGAGTTATTTTAAATATCTCTTACAATTTGTATAAAATAAATTTGACATTACCTTTAAGTGTATATCTATGAAACACAACTTTATTATTCCGTATACTTCTGTGGACAATCCACATTAACTGAAGCACTTAAAGATATATGAAAATATTCATGTTCAAATAACTTTTGGCATAGAAGTTCCTCTTATTTCAAGTTGTTTTCAAAAATTTTTAAGAAGTAAAACTTCCATTATTTGGGCTTTTTGTCAATATTAGTTCGTAAGTAAAGAAAATGACATTAGTAATTTTATCATTAGCATATACAAATGCTATTACAGTAATTTCTGGATAAAAATTGAAACTGTCATTTTTTACCCAAAATATACAATTGTATATGTATGCATTCGAGGCTAAATTTAACTGATTTTTGCAAGAATATGACATCGACACTTTTAATAGAAAGTCATGGATGAAATTTATTTAAAATTTTTAATTAAGATAAAATTTAAAATTTAAAGTAATAAGATTTATACATCAGAGAAATTTTTGTTTAAAAATAATAATCGTTTCAAATCACAGATAATTCTAATTATATTCACAGCACTTAACATAATAACATATACATGAAAGTACATATTAATTTATAACGCATCACTATTCAAAATATTCTTAAAAAGCTAACAAGTTATATTGAAATATAAATTCCGAAACAAAACATTATGAAACTAGTCTCTTTTTTGACAAATTGTACCCAGTTACTGTTAAGAAAAATATTTCATTTGGATTAGGAGTTTTATTCATTTTATACGAACATCGTATTAAAAAATATATTGTGTACAATTGAAATTTTTCACTTAGAATTTGTCAAATTTATTTTCCGACTTTTGAGCGTGACTGCAGCGACGTGATTATATTAAAAAAAGTTAAACAATTAAATTGTTCACAGCGTCTAATCACGTTTAAATCCATCACTACGAGATCTTAAGGTAAGGCCAGGCGCACGCCCATCCTGTCGTCCAATCAACGATCGCGACGTCATCTCGTACGATGTAACGGAGAGACTCACCCACGTGGTAAGTATCGTGTTATTTTAGCATCGCACTGCAAGAAAAATACTTTTAAGAAAAAAAATACACCGACTTCGAAATGCACTAAAAAGTATAAAATAATTTCTATTTCATTCAATCATACAATTACGTCACAGATATGAATGAAACCTATTTACTCGTTAGGTAGTGTATTAAATACATTTCAACCTTTTCGGAGGCGGCGCAAAATTAAAA